CTATAGAATATTTCAATATTTAATTAAACAGTGGCATTCATCATGCTTATTGTGGTTTCAATGCCACTTTAAATGAGTCATTCTGATGATACACCTCATTGGCGGAATGTTAACCCATGTCAGCCATGGTGCTCTGCTCAAGACAGCCAATTAAATCCTAACAATTCATCATTTAAAGGTTGCACGTGCTTGTCAGCGCCTTTAAAGCAAATTAATAATGTTCTAAAGTGGAAAATTTGTATTTGTTTGTTTGATGACTGGAACGTAACTTGATTTTGTCCTTGGTTACATATATCCAAATGAGGCTATATATGAGTCACACATGATAATCACATCTGCGGTTTGCTGCATTTCGATGCACTTAAGAGCACAAATTACTTCATTACATGATGGTCCATACCATGTCTCATTGAATTTTAATTTATTAACATGCCATTGATGGGCTGTTCAGTATATAGAACACACAAACACACGCACACAGACACACACGCATACACAGACTCACTGACCATTTTCATGTCATTATTATCTTGTGAGGACATGACAGAAAAATGCTTATTACACAGTATTTCTCTTCATATTCAACACAACCAAACCTTAAAGTGGGCAAAAATATACTTTTGAATGGATATTCATTATACTGGCTACTGGGTAACATTCATCCACAGTTAAGCTCACTGAACCATTTAAAATTTGTATTTAGTCATCAGCATCTATAATTTCTGGATTTCTCTGTATCTTTCTTGGAACCTGTCTTACCAGATTTTACATGAAGAGCTGTCTTCAGATGATACTGCATTTCAATTGACTGTTCACTTGCTTTGTGCATATCTTGTGCACAAAGTTACAGGCATATGGCATGAGTGCTTGAAAGATGGAGTAAGAATGAGAACGTATTTCAATGCACTGTTATAAATTTCCACTTTTTTTGCCAGTCAATTGAGCTGGCATGTTTTCTGCCAGTTATTAGGGGCCAGGCAGCGAAAGCTGCCGGGAACCTATTGTTTTCGCCAGTATTCTTCTTCTTCTTCTTCCTAGGAAATCCTACTTCCCATAGATGAAAAATCACCAAACTTTGCACAAAGGTCCAGTCCCATGCCAGATTGCCTCAGCTGCAAAAACAAGCCAATAGTCCTGATGGTGGCGCTACAGCAAGCCTCTAAAATTCAAAATTTTGAAAATTCACAACAAATCAACCATATGTGCTACAGATTTGCAACTTTCACCAAAATTTAGCCCTAATACTTAAAAAAACTTTTGTCCACTTAAACTTATTACAAATTATGAAGTCTATCACTCTGTTTTTTTTTTTTTCAAAAACTGTAAAACTTATAAAACTTTTCTTGCCCCACAATTTTTGCTCAATTGTCACCAAATTTGCAGTACTGAATCTTCAGATCATCCTCCACAAAAATACCTCCTGGTGTTTCGATATTTGAAAAATTGAGCCTTCAGTGCATGAAAATGTTTGAGTGTAAACAGAACTGTAAACATATACCAGCCAATTCTTGATAAGTACATTTTCAATCTTCCTGAAAAAATAGATAATATTTTAGATCATGGTCGATGAAGTTTGCCAAATATCAGAATTTTTTTTCTCAAAAACTGAATTTTTGAAACCATTTTGAATTCTGCTCTCGTGGAACAATTGGAGTCAATGTGAGAATGACATTTTTAAACATTAGATTTTCTCTTATGAAGCAAAAGCACTTATTGCTAAAAACAAATCGCCAACATTTCTATGCTGTCAAGCTGCAATTTATGTATTATCAGATTTTTGTCTTGATACCAGAAATTTTGACATTTTGACAATTTTTGAAATCTTCCTTGACAACTGCTTCCTGGCTGGTGGCTCCCTGAGTCGATAAATGAAGCCACACACCTATTCTCTCTCACAGCCAATTAGCTCAATGAGTAAGGAGTTGATTCTTGGTGTCAGAGGTTGTGAGTTAAAGCCCCAACTGCGGCAGAATGGACATTGTAATGTTGATGTTATGTCTATGTTATTGTAATGTCTTGTTATTTGCTTATTTAGGAACTTATTGTTTTCCTCAATAAGCGTTTAAATTTAAAAACTTTGAAAATTCCTACCAAACCAACCATACGTGCTACAGTTTTGCAACTTTCACCAAAATGTAGCCCCAATACTTTAGAAATTTTTGTCAACTTAAACTCAATAAACCTTCAGACCCAGCAACAAGAAATATTATTTTCTGATTGGCTGATAGCTCGACAATTCAAGACAGCTGTATGGATGGACTAAGCAGAAAAACCTGTCTTGGCCTCTGAGGTTTCATCACTTCTTACAGTGAGAAATGTCATGTGTGGTGTGTGAGCGTGTGTCTCATGCCCAATGCACGAGACCAGAGAGCCCTTTTGTTGTTGCAGCACGTCTGCAGCAAGCATCTTCCTGTCATGTTGACGTCAAAGAGAGGGATATCCTCAACTGAGAATATTCATGTCTGAAATACACAACTATTTTCCTAATGGATTGAATATTAACTATTATGTATTTAAACAACTGATTTATTGACAAATCGTCGCTGCTTTATTTCTTATTTTAGTCCTAAAATGCGCTAGAAGAAGTTTGAAATGCATGTAACTCTTAAAAGTTACTTGCTAATTAGCTCAGTGAGACGAAGGATACTGGGCTATTTGGTGTCAGAGATTATTAGTTCAAATGTCAACCAATGCAAAATGTACGATGTAATCCCACCTTTCTTGCTATCCGCCATTTTTTGCCTCTTGTTGCTCAGAATTGCCTAAATTTGCCTGGCCCCCATATCGCTGCAAAGCAGCTTTAATTTTAACTGTAATTTCATAAGAAGTTTACAACAGAGTTCTGTGTATGCTAAGTGTAAACCACAGTTAAATGCGCATGGAATTCCACTTAGGCCTACCATTAAAATAACTGGCAAAAAGATGCAAGTTTATAACAGTGTGGGAAGTAAAAACAACAGTTGAAAAGGCATCTGAAACAGTCTGTGAAAGATGGATCTATATTCAGGTCAGTTTGTTTTGCACCTTAGCTGCTTGCGCTGCACTCATATCACGACATGTTCAAACCTACCTAACTTGCCTTAATGTAATTAGAGTTACTTAACTGAGCTTTTTTCATCAGTCTCATTATTAATAAGCGAGGGCCTGTATTAGTATGGCCTTCAGAAAATGCTAAACTAATAATATTGCTAATGATTGGCGTATTACAAATGCCATGCTATTGGTTCAACGCGAGCTGAAAGCCTTTTCAAGTGCTAAATATGTTAGTAAATCAACCTCCAAATGTATCCTGATACTGATATTCTCATTGTTTATATTTTGTACTGCATTACAGGCCATTTATTACAAAATGTAGCAAGTGTTTACTTGTAGCACAAAATTTATTAGCAGGCTTTTTGCGTGGTCATCTGCCCAATACGTTCGAGGTCCCAAGGCCTCTCCCTTTATATCTCCCGGCAAGTAACTCACCTTGTAATCACAGTGTGTCAGCATTGTTACTGCAGAGAAGTGACCCAGAGCCAGCGTCAGTTAGCAATGTTTTAGGGGAAGGGCTGCCCGTGTTAATTTGTGAGTCAACATTTCAACTTGCTGCATTAAGTGAATTTAAACTGTTCTAATTTACCAGGCCTGGAACAAGTCATATATGTGAATAATGAGAGCTTTACAAGAGCTGACATGCTTTCCTGGCATAGATCTGACTGAGGCTTAATTGTGATGTATGTAGATGGTAAGATATTGACTTGGTAGTGCAGGTTAGAAGTCTTGAGGTGCTCCAGGTCTACTGGCAAATGTACATTGGCAGAACAATATCACTCACTACCGTGACAGACACAAGGTGTCCATGACTGGTGTAGGTCCAGCAGGAAGGCCTTACTAAAACCACTGTAGCACATGCGCCTTGCTCAAGGTGCAATAGAATACCTACGCCAAGTGCACTCTTTGCCTCTGACAAATACATCACTGCAAAATCTCACTCAACAGTTTCTTCTGCATCCATTCTTTAGATGATTACCTGCACGGTGTGCAAACAGCGTAATACGGTTAGATAGATACACTTTGTTCAACCCCATGGTGTAAATTGTATCCTCAGGAAAACTTTCGAGGGATACCACGGTTTTGGAAAAAAGCCGCCGCTGTGTCTGCTGCAGAGATTTTGGCATCAGCACAGGAGAGTAAGAAATAATTTATGGATATCTATCATTTTTGGCACATGGCTTGGCGGGAACCTAAACCATAACGAGTTTGATACACTGGGTGATTCGAGCCTATTGTTTGGCCTATGGAGGCCTAAATAGGCCCCCAAACACTCAAAAAAGTTTATTTCTCATTATAGCCGGCTCTTTTTTTTGTGATCCTTTCCAACACTTTGATGTATAAAGATGCTGCAAACAACGGCTAATCTCAGCTTGTCAATCATGTTACTGGTTGAGCTCCTTGGATTGTGTTGGGGGGGGGGGTGGGCAGCTGAAGGGGAGAAGGGTGCGCGTCGGGGGATATATTTGTACTCGGACGGTCCTCCGGCCAGATGCTCCAGGTTTTCCTCGGCATTTTACTCATCCTTGTTACATATGTGCAGTGGGCTGCCACTGTGCAGTGCCTGAGGACCAACTCCAGTTCTAAAGCTAGGGCCTTGGTCAGGGGCACTTGTAGGAGTGTTCCAATCGTGGGCTCAAAAGCAGAAGTGACCATGTCCATTTATTAGCATTTTTGGCCTCTTTATTAAAAATTCATTATGAATGGTGCATAAGGGTGTGCAAATAAGTTGTTTTGCAAGTGGAACCCTCTTTGAACTGTGAATTTTTTTTCCGTTTTGTTTTTTTTTTTTGGAGCAATAAAAACTTTGGCCTAATTTTTCTCAGAAGCGTGAATACGGACACAATGATTTCTGCCTTTGGGCCCACGCAATAGTATGCGCTTTTCCAGAGTAGGGGAAATTTGCATACCCAGTAGAAGCCCACATGAACCTGAGGAGAACATGTGAACTTCACACAGAGAGGTCCTGGTTGACTGGGACTCAAACCCAGAACCTCCTTACTGCAAGGTAACAGCACTAACCACTATGCTACCATGCCGTTACAGAAGATAAACTGTGTTAGTGACTGGTAATTGGTAAGCTGCATTTATTGAAAAAGTATTCTCAATTTTGTCGGATAACATTAATATTCTTTGTGTCGATAGCTTATCAACGGTATTAGTATGGAAAGACAGAGTACAAGCCCAGTAATTACATTACTATTTCACTATTTTAGAAACTCAGCCACATAGTAGATTTTTATCTTATGTTTTATTATTTCTTGGTAGATAGCTTCATGAAGTGGCTATAAGTGCTGTTTTTTTTTTAATTAATTGTAGACTCTAAACTGGCTGCTCAAAACACACTATCATGGAAAATTCTCTGTCAATAGAGGGACAAATAAAAGAAATCGAACAACACAGCAGCAGACGTCAAACAATTGCTAATAAATCCATTTTCTTTATTCTCGGAATGTTGTTTTAGAAGTAAATTTGTTTTTGAATAGCAGGGTCGCCAAAAGCAGTTTTATGAACCACAAAAAATAACTGGTTATCCCATACTGAGCAAGTTATTTCCTTTTAAATTTTTATATCACTGTCTATGCCATTGTCAGGATCTATGCTATTGCCATTGTCGTCATTTTATGGCTCTTGCCTGTAATTTCCATTACATTACTTTAAGGTGCCCTTCTCTCTGTTACCGCATGAAAATGAATCCATCAAACCCCCTTTCTTTCTTATGAGCTAACGTGCCCTGAACGCAGCTAATGGGCTTTACGCCACCACGGTGATGTAGTGGCACTGTGTTGTAACCTGTGTATCAGGCAAAGACATCTGAAAGAGGAAAAATGTGCTGGATTTTCTTCTATTGACCCTGCAGAGGGAATGTGTCCGGTGGCGCCCTGATTTATATTTATGTAAATGTTTAATATTTTGTTAGTTGCTTGTTTGTTTTTATTAAATAAAATATAATTCTTGAGATAATTGTTGTTTTCATCATTTTGTCAACACCTCTGGTCATTTGCATCATTCTGAAGTAAATTCCTCCCCCCAGTATGGCAGCTCTATACCAGGAAAAACCCTGCAAAAGACTGAAATTCTAATGCATGGTTTCAACGATTTACACCAAAAGGGGTATGGGTGAAATTCTGCCTGTTTGGACTACTGTTACGAAAAAGCTTGGTCTCCCAAAAACTATAAATTTGAGATATATGATTTGAAGTTTTTTTTTAGACTAGAGAACTGCACTTTTAGTCATTTTCCATCTAAATCCAGTTTCTAAAACTTATTTTCATCCACTTGTGCAAAGAGAATGTCTAAAAATCAAAGATCGAATTCAAATTTTGGAGATTTTTTTGTTGATGAGCAACAGCAGGTATCAAGGAAATGACACTAATCTAAAGTACATGCATGTCTATTTTAGAGATAAAAGTATAACGAAATCTTTAATCGTTGAAACTTTACAGCAGTTTCTCAAAAATATAGAAAAGAGCCCATTTTCACCTGTTTTTTTTTTTTTTTTTTAATCAAGTATCATCGAAAGTCCAGTGTATCAAACACTATAAAGCCCAGGAATATGGTTCAATGCTGTTTTGAAAGTAGGGAAGTACACCTTTACCACCAAACAGTTTTTTTTAACCAAAGTCTAGAATATGATATATAGTTTCAACAATGTATGTACATAAAATGTAAAAAAAAACAAAAACAAAAAAAAGTTCAGTGTGAGTGCTTGCAATCAGGTAGTGGAATTTTTCCTTGACGTGATAAAGCAACTATGAATTAAATCAAACCTCTTTGCTGTTCTCGTGTACGCTTTATACTTGTGCAAAAAAATTGTATCAATATTTATAAGATAACAGACTGTGTATTATTCTACTTTTCAGGTTAGCCCCTTTTGATTTGGTAACCACAGTGTCTTTATACCGGGTGACAATTATTGTTTTGAAAACATGCTTTATTTCAATGCTCCAGTAAAATGATTGTATGACAGATTTGCCAATGGCTAAATAAACAAACATAATATTGACAGTTTGAGCTGCCCGGCGCCATTTTTAAAGGTCCTAGTTACATCTTGCATTGTGCTGTATTCCAAATGACACCTCTTGCTCATGCACAATAAATTAAGCTTAAACAAAAATGTATTATTATTCTGAACCATATGGTAATGTGACATACATTTGAAACAGCTAATTGGTAATGTAATCCAGCATCTAACCAGCTGACACTGGACTGCTTTTCGTTATAATCCCTGGAAGTTTATCCAGTGCATCAGACGAATGCCGCAAAAGCGAGGATTATGTCTGTTCTAAAGTCAAGCTGATATAGTTGGCAAATAAAAGTGAAAAATTTTTTAAATGAAGACACAATTGCATGTAAGAACTGTAAATTCTGATGCATAGAAAGCCACTCCAAGATAAGTAAATTGTCATGATTCCAGGAAAAACAAACCAAGCTGCGAACACTGATTGTGCTGGGAGAAAGCTGACTGTGATCTGGCTGTGTGACAAGTGATTGGAGGGACTGAAACATACAAGTTACCATGTCATGACACAAATGGAAAGACACTTCCATTACTGTGGATATAATGAGATTGGCTGAGTCCCTATGAATCAGGCAAGCATGGAAAATAAGTCATGGCTCCTTTTGAAAATCATAAGTTATGCTCTGCAACCTTTCAAGCAACAAAGTGCAAAACAATGAAGCTCTAGGTCGTGGTAAAGTGGATTTATACAAGGCAGAAAGTAGATGCGTAATCTGCCAGTTGCCTTCAGAAAATTATGCAAAAATAAGTGGAATATAAATAAAAAATCCAAATGGTTTTTCTTTTGAAACCATACCTTATGGATTATCATGATCCTGGACCAATTATTAGGGCATGTATTATGCAAAGGTAGCAACTTGAAAAAAATATAGGTGAGTGAAGACCGCTGTTGAAATGTTTTGATTAGAATAAAACTTGATAGTTTTACTGGAGCAGTGACTTTGTTATCGATAATGGATGTCTCTGAAGGATATTGGATGATAATATTGATGTTTTTAGCAAATTATATATTAGTCCAATTGTTGACTGACATAGGGAAATTCCATAGTGCCAACGCTACTGCGATGGGGTGTTTGAATTTAAGAGGTTAATAAGTCTATATCACTAAAGTGTACCCAAACCTGAAGTGTATTATTATTCTCTTGGCAGTTTTGTCTATGATAATACAACTTGTCGAATTCTAATGAATACTGTACAACAAATTTAATGATTCGCTGGACAAATAAACTTGTCTTGTACAACAACTTTTACAACGTAATTCACACACCTTTTTCAAAGACTGTCATGTCATCATGAAACCCTTTGTGCAGAGGAGCAGATCGTAGATGCTAGCATCTATGGAACTGCTCAACTGATGCACTCAGTTGCAGAATCCTACCACTATGGGATAGACACGAAGGAAGCGGTGCCCATAAACTACAACCCCAACTCCGGAATAGTTGGGACAAAGTGTATATTGTGAATAAAATCAAAATGCAGTGACTTTCAGATCACATGAGCCAATATGTTATTAACAATAGAACATAGATAACATTTCAAATGTTGAAACTGAGACATTTTTATCCACAAAATGAGCTTATTTCAAATTTCCTGGCTACAACAGGTCTCAAAAAAGTTGGGACACAGGCAAAAAAGGGCTGAAAAAGCAATTAATATATAAGAGAATCAGCTGAAAGAACGTTTAGCTAGTAATTATGTTAACTGGCATCAGGTGTGTAACATGATTGGCTATAAAAGGGATGTCTTAGAGAGGCTGAGTCTCTCAGAAGTAAGGATTGCCAGAGACTCTCCAACCTGTAAAGGCTTGTGTTAAAAAATTTGTGGAATACTTTAAAAACAATGTTCCTCAACGTCAAATTGCAAAGGCTTTGAAGGTCTCATCATCCACAGTGCATAACATCATCAAAATATTCAGAGAAACTGGAAAAATCTCTGTGCATAAGGGACAAGGCCGAAGACCTTTACTGGATGCCCGTGATATTCGGGCCCTCAGACGCCACTGCATCACTCACCGGCATGACTCTGTCATTGACATTACTAAATGGGCCCAGGAATACTTCAAGAAACCACTGTCTGTAAACACAGTCTGCCGTGCCATCCACAGATGCCACCTAAAACTTTCATGCAAAAAGGAAGCCATTGTTGAGCATGATCCAGAAGCGCCGCCGTGTTCTGTGGGCCAAGGCTCGTTTAAAATGGACTGTGGCAAAGTGGCAAAGTGTCCTGTGGTCAGACGAGTCCAAATTTGACATACTTGTTGGAAATCATGGGTGTCATGTTCTCCAGGCTAAAGAGGAGAAAGGCCACCCCTCCTGTTATCAGCATTTAGTTAAAAAGCCAGCATCTCTGATGGTATGGGGATGCATTAGTGCATATGGTGAAGGACACTTGCATGTTTTAAAAAGCACCATGACTGCTGAAAGGTATATAAAGGTTTTAGAGCAACATATGCTCCTTTCCAGATGACATTTATTCCAGGGAAGGCCTTGTGTATTTCAGCAGGACAATGCAAAACCACATACTGCGGCTATTACAACAGCATGGCTTCGTAGCAGAAGAGTCTGTGTGCTGAACTGGCCTGCCTGCAATCCTGATCTTTCACCGATTGAGAACATTTGGCACATAATTCAACAAAAAGTCCGTCAAAGGAGACCCAAAACTCTCCAGCAGCTGGAAGCCTATATTAATCAAAATTGGGGTCAAGTCCCATTGACTTAACTCAAGAAACTTGTCTCCTCAATGCCCAGACGCTTCCACGCTGTGTTAAAAAGAAGAGGGGATGTTACACCATGGTAAACAGGCCCCTGTCCCAACTTTTTTGAGACCTGTAGCAGCCATCAAATTTGAAATGAGCTCATTTTGTGGATAAAATTGTACAATTTCTCAGTTTCAACACTTGCTATGTTATCTTTGTTCTATTGTGAATAAAATACTGGCTGGTGTGATTTGAAAGTCATTGCGTTTTGATTTTGTTCACAATTTACACTTTGTCCCAACTATTTCAGAATTGGGGTTGTA